GATCTACTCCTATGCTTTCTAGCCATGAATTTTTTCTACTTTGACTTGGGGCAAGAACTCTTTTCAACCACACTCAGCTTTGGGCCATGGCCATCCACACTTGTAGTAGTCAATTAGAGCACTTTGTTCTTTCGACTGCTTCACAGCAACGAAGGTGGTGGACACAAGCATTCCACTTTAGTGCCTCTTCAGCAAGAATTCTAGATATTAGAGGTTCTCCTAGCACTCTTTGACACAACATAATAAGGGGAGTGTGGCTTCCTTAGCTTCAAGCTTTCCATTCGGCGACCACACCACTTTGAACAACCCCTAGACTTCTATGGGCAATCCAGGATGACCCCACCTTATCAATTACACCTTCATCTATCATTCACGACTACTCTGGTGCAATATCATTGTGGCTTTTGGGACAACAATGTGCATTCCAAACTTCAACATCCATAATAACTCAGCTCAGCCAACTCCAACATAGGACATGTTGGAGTTTCCAGCCTTCTTAGGCCTCCAAAAACATCATCATATGCCTTTTCATCATTTGAGGCTTTGCTACATTGCCACTCACACTTGTGGTGGTCATTCTCTTTGTTCTTTTATTTTCTCTAACTTTTTCTTTTCTGTGTTCTTTCACTTTGTTTTCTTTGTTTCATCTCTAGGTCCTAAGTTCATCACAAAGCAAACTTGTGCTTGGGTCATAGTTTCTCCAAGTGGCATTAATCTTGATCGTTTGGAAGCCCAAGTTTCTTCAGGTTTTGCCATGGTTATTCCACTCTATCTTTACATTAGACTTTCCCTCTCCACTTTTCACAATCACTTTTTGCATTTTTTTTTCTTTCCTACACCATTGCCCATTCTTTCCACTTGGTACCATAGTTTAGTTTGGCATTCTTTAGTGGTTTACAGGCACAAAATATTCACATAGATGGCCTCTATCATCCAGTAGAGTTTGAGTAGAAGAGACACAATCATCCCCAACTTATAGTAACAACCTTTTTGAACATTGTAGTTTTGACACATGTAATAGTGGAAGCAAAGGCATTTAATGGCTAGTTGGGCCTTATGTACAGGCATCCACGTCCATTTCACAATGTAGCTTGTTTCCCCGTCCATTCCTCTTGACTTCTAGTAGCTCCTTCTGGCAGAGATCTTTGGTTTGCCGCATTTTTTAGTGCATCGTCATTGAATATCCTAGTTTTGGCATGATTTCGTTGGTGGTTTTGGAGAGCTCTTCATCATAGATTGCAGCCGACATTCTTTTTTACCAAACACTGGTACTTCCATGCCTTGAGGCATTCATCTTTCCACCCATTTTCCTCCATTATCACACTTTTCTACACTTTCCACCATTGGGTAATAGACTTTCATTCCATAGCAAAGCCTTAGGAAGACTTAAGGTACTTCTTGAAGGTTTGAGAACTTTAAAGGTTGTGATTTAGGTTTAAGCTTTTAACTTGAGTTTTGATTTTTCTATCTTTCTGTTTTTTTTTCCTTTGTGTCTTTTCACTAATCCTTAGCTTTTTCTTTCACTTTCTTCTTCTTTTTTTTGCTAAATCAAGGGTCTAGTTTGACTATAGAGTTTTCCACTAGGTTTTTTCCTTTATCTTCAAACTCCACACCTTTATCCTTTTTATTTTTCTTTGTTGTTTCACTCTTTTTCTACAATTACCTCTCTTAGGCATTTGCCTTATCTCTTTACCCATTGATTTCTACATCTGCAGGTCATGGGTTCTCTTTGAGCTAGGGCATAAAGATTCTTAGAATATTCCCTAGGAATATTCTAAGTGTGAGAGATGATATTCCACATGGGAGGGTATTACCTTTCTTCCCTACGAGTTTAGGGCAGAACAAGGGCAATGATGTATTGAATTTCTTAGCTATGGAATTTATAGTGTTTGAGTGCATTTGAGAGTGAGATGGTGTGTAGATGATGAAGAGGTATTTTGTGTATCATCCCAGGCAGAATAAAAGAAGAAAGCTTAGGCAAAATGGAGTTACACCTAATTTTAGGCATCCAAAGAAAAAAGATCTGACCTAGGCAACACTTGTCATAGACAAGTGTGAAGCAATTAAAAACAATTATAAAATCATGTAGTATTTAAGTAACAGTTAAACATGTTGGAAAATAACCTCCACCCACTGTTGTATACATTTGTATTGAATTAACCATTGTTTCTTCTATTTATGATGTGCAAAGTAGATTTAAGAAAGTAACATATGCTTATCCTTACTCACGCCTTTGGGATTCGAGATTGAGTTTTATTCTATTCTTTTTTTATTCTTCTTTTATTCTTTATGTTCTTGTCTTTGTTTGTTTATCACTATTTTATAGGCAGGGGCAAGAATGCGCGTATAGGTAGAGAAAGTTTTACTCATTTTTAGCGACTATAGTAGGATCTTGTGATGTAGTGATGAAGGGTATACCATCTTAAACTTTTTAAAGCCCTATATGTATAGGCGTTATAAGCATTATAAAGACTTAGGTTCAAACAAAATATGCCTATGCCTATACATACAGGGCCTCAATAAAATTTATTGTGAACATGCAATAAAAGAGCTTATGTAAATTTCAATGACTTGAAAAAAACTATGATTGCCTTAAAGTTAGATGAAAAGACAACTTTGATAAACATGTCTAAGAAGCCTTAAATTGTAAACCAATTTCAAACAAGGGATTTAGTGTACTAAATGCAAAAATAAAGGCCATAGTAAAGAAGAATGCAAATTTCATCTAATCAAGTGCTAAATTTGAAGTATAAAACCTTGTTTAAACAACCAAGAGGCCCGAGTTGATAAAACAATACATAAACAAAATTATCCACTTGACGATAGAAATTATCATAAGAGGAACAATTACAATGATAATTGAAGTGCCAAACTTGAATACGCATGCACTAAAAAGCAATATAACAACTCCAATGCATATACAAATCTCTCCGAACATTGAGAAAATGATGAGCACTAGATGAATGAAACTTCTAACAATTTTAACCTTTGAATTCAGGCTTCTAAGGTTGGTAGGCACTATAGGCAAAGCTGCTGAGGCAGAACAGCTTCTTTTCACACTAACTTATGAAGAAGGCCAGAATATATCAGATTTGGAGGTCCTGAAATTGGCTGGAGAAAAGCTCAGCTTACCAAACATTAACGAGTATCTGGTAGTTCTTATATTTATTTTGTAAGGCCTGTGTTTTCTAACCTTTGTGTGTTATCCAACAGCGAAGTTCTCAAAGAAGATAAGTTCGCAAAGGGAAAGATGGGCTTGCTTTCCGCGATTGAGGTACATGAGAGTGGTTCCCCGAATCGATGATCGTCCCGCCGCTTCCATTGGCAGCGATTGCAAATCTCTCGGCCAGGATGAGGAAAATTTCCTGGTCGATCTTGATCCCCTGGATTCCAAGGTAGTCTCCACGGAGTTGTTCGTCCTCACGAATGGCTCATCTGATCGAAGTGCCGGGAGAGGGCAAATCCAGCGCCAAAGCTGATGGCACTGCTCACGCTCAGGTTGTTGGTCCGATCGACGAGGCAGTAGGAGAAGCTCTGGCCGATTGGCGAAGATCAAAGCTGGGATGGGAAGGAGAGAGCTCCTTGGCCGAGCCCAAGAAGCCCGCCAGCACCCTGGAACAGCCCCTTGTGGGAGTGACCACAGCCGATCACCATGTCCCGGATCTCCAGCGACGAGAGAGGCTCACTGACAGTGATTTCATACCAGTAGAAGTACTTGCAAGTTTATGGAGAAGTCTTGGAGGAGTTATGGCGGCATTCTTCGTGGACGACTAGATCGCAGGCCACGGCATTGCAAGGGATGCTTTTGAAGGAAGTGGACTGGGATGGATCAAACACCGGGCCGGATTGCTTGAAGCAAGCCTAGGTGAGATCACTGCCAGTGTCGATGATGAGAAGGAAGTGCCGCGGAGGATTTCCAAAGTCCCACGAACACGTCCATGAAGTACTCACGAGCTCCTGTGAGTGAGTAGTAGCAAAACTCTTGGAGATCGACTGCTACCAAGATGGAGAGGTCAGTTTATAGTGTGATCAATTGTTGGTCACATGTCCAGGAAGAGTCTGAGGCTGGTGCTGCTAAGGCCAACAATGCAGAGCTCAACCAGAAGATGCGAGGGAAGTAAGGCAGCAGGACTCCGATTTCAGCGATGGAGGCTGACAAAGTCTGGAGTGCCTCTAAAGACTATAGAGCTGCTTCCTCCTGCAGGTGACAATATTCACTTTACAATTTCCCTACAAGCGATCAACCACCTCAAGCCTATTGCAGGCTCAAGCATGGCTAGCCTTGGGACTAAGCTGGAACACCAAACAGAAATCAGTCAAGCTAAACACTGAAACTTACGTCCTCACTCCTCCCTATAATCAATCCTAGAACTGAAAGTGCATTCCGGAGAATTGCTTGAGAATAAGAATAGAGCTCCTTTCAAAGTAACATATGGAACCGAGGTGTGTTTACAGCAACAATATCTGGAAATGTCCTGGGACCAAACATCTAAAATACGTTCAGATTAGTGGATTTGCAAAGTACTGTGTTGTGAGTTGTAAGCAAACTGATTAGACCTGCACCTAAATTTAATCTTCAGGTAAACTAACCTAAGGCTTGACACTCTAGGGTTACATATAGCCTGACTAATTTCTGTTTCGTGTTCCAGCGAAAGAGTGTGGGACTACAAGGCCTAGCGGGCGTATAATCATGGACAGGACATCGGGCAAGGAAAAATCCAGCCCTTGAGCACTAAATGTCAGAGAGGATACGCTTGAGGGTGTTCAGTAGCGAGAGATTTGTTTTAAACTCCAAGCCTAGCGTTGTTAACCACCCAGCATTCTGCTCTAGTTATGCAATAATACTAGTCATAAAATATTTTCTGTTCTGCCAGACCAGGTGGGAATCAATGGTCCACGAGGAAGGAGTTAAAAATCAATGGCCCTGAGTGACGATTGAATGAGCGCTTTTATTTCATTTCCATGCATTCCCCGCCCTCTCTAGCTCTCTTTGTAACTAGGGTTTTCATCGCGATGTGCCAGAGAGTGAAAGCGCCCCGCGGCCCTTCAATGGCACTGCGATTGCTCCACCACTGCAAAGCTGTGGCGCCTTGTTGGCGCTGGCGGAGGACGCGGCCAAAGAGCTTCAATGTGGTGCAGAGGCATTGTGGTCGGATCCAGGTGCGCCCTAGCCTCGTGGATTTTGGAGTCGCAATTCATCTCGTGTTTGTGGCATTGACAGGCAAGGACTGGTGCTCTTGGGATTAAATTGAGGAGCTCTTGCTTTTTTGCCTTTGCAGATTTCTGGTTGGAAGTTGGGACCGAGAAAAGGCTGGCCGGTTGGTGAGAAAGGAAAATCTTTTGGAAGGCTGCATTGGCATCTCTTCTCCTGGTAGGTCTTACGTTGGTTGTGTGCTTTGATTCTAGGAAACATAGCTAGGAGGTGTTGTGGTGTTTCTTACTCTCCGATTGACCTGAGTTTTTTTTCTCTCTCGTGTTCTCGCAACACGAAACGATGCAGGACGGTGAGAGTCGACGAGTACCGCTAGAGGAATATGCTCTCTCTATATTCCTCCAATGGAGGAATATGCTCTCTATATAACATAAAAATTACTGCCACGCGTTTCCACACGCCTTTGCCAGGTCATCACTGAATTTGGACTTCGACTATCCTGTTCTTCAGGATTCAGTAAATCACTTGTGGTAAGGTTTTCCGATCCAACAAGAGAAATGGCTCGGGGATGGGGACGCGATCGAGGTGAGTCTGCTGAAGACCACGACGATTATGATCCGGAGCCTTTTGTGGGAGGCTACGACATTGGGTCATGGTATGGACCGATCAAGGAAGCAAGCCCGGATTGGAGCTATCCACCCTATCCGCAGAGCGGCGAGGAGGAAGAAGAAACGTATGTGGATACTGAGCGTGTGGCGGATTACGGCAGCGCAAAGCCGTCGCATTACGGCCATGGTCAAGGTACGAGCAGCAGCTATGGCACTGGCAAACAGGAGTACAGTTCGGGACATGGACAGCAAGCTGGCTATGGCGATGGATCTGAAGAATCTGCGGAGTATGGATCTTCCAAGCCCTCTTATGGGTATGGATCTGGTGGAATTGAGCAGACTGGGTATGGCTGAGGTGATTACGGTGCTGGATCTGGATATGGAGGCCAGAAGCAGCAGCAGCAGCAGGAAGAATATGGATCTGAGAATGTAGGCTATGGGGGGCGTAAGAAGTATGGAGAAGAAGAAGGCTATGGTGGTCGAAAAAATATGGAGAGGAAGATGAAAGTGAAGGCTATGGTGGTCGTAAGAAATATGGGGAGGAAGATGTAACGGAAGGCTATGGTGGTCAAAAGAAGTATTTTGTTACCTTCTTGGATGACTACTCCCACTATTTGATTGTTTACCTACTAGCTTAGAAATAAGAAGTGTTTGACTACTTCAAGACTTACAAGACTTATGTTAAGAACTTGCACAATTGCATAATCAAGGTGCTGCGTTATGATTATGGAGGCAAGTTCCTATCTATGAAGTTCAATCTCTTTTGTGCTGAAGCTAGCGTTACAAGACAATATGCTATTGCTGGTGCACATCAACAAAACGGCTAAGCTAAGAGGATCAACAAAACAATGGATCAGTCAGCCTTTTTTATGCTGCAATAAGCAGGTCTACCAACTCATTTCTGGGGTGAAGCTGTGAACATAGCAGTTTACTTGTGTAATTGACTTCTTAGATGTGCACTACTAGCTAGCATGACTGTAAGCGACTAATTTTTCCATTTTACTTTAGTCACTTAACCGCACCTCCGACCACTTGGAGGAGTCTCATTCACAACCTCCATAAGTCCTAGTTAGGACTTGGGGCATGCTAGCCCCGAGAATGGCATCCTTGCCACTCAACCTTTGCACTTGGTCCAAGTGCTCCACGTGTCTGATCCCATGACCGACACCCCAAGGTACCTCCGACATATCGGCCCGTTACGCTAAGGCTATGTCCATTCACCTTGGTCACATTGGTGGTCCAACGCCATCTGCATTCCAAACCCGTCTCTCAAAGACTGGGTCATCCGTCCACGAGTGATCATCCCAGATCCACTCCTTAACATCCCTAGAAGGCCTATAGATATGGGGAATAGCCTTCCCCAATATCTCCGTTCCGGTCCCTACCAAGTCCCCTTCTGTCCTTGGCCGTGTTCGCCAACACTGCCACTGGATCAAGGCCCACCGGCCCGACCACTAAGTCTCTCTATCCTCTAGGACTGCTTCATCGTGTGACTGGGTCCTTCGTCACCACACCAGAGGGCTACTCCTCTTCTTTTCCACTGTCTGGGACTTTGGGACACCATTTCGGAACACCATGGCCCTACGCAGGCCTCATGGGTACTCTCCCTGCCTTCCGCCTTTGGGTGCTCTAGCCATGGGCTTAGAGCGAGGTTCCGTTGAGCCACACCAGGTATCCAAGTAGGTAGTGCCACCCACACTTGGACTGGGAGCATCGGCCAGTCGATCTCCCGGGGGAACTAGAGCCGGCTCTTGAACACTTCACCAAGCTACCCCGCTTGTCGGTCCATATTCACTCTAGTCTTGGACTTCCCAGTGGTCAGTTCATCACCCAACACTGGGTATGGCCTTCCTGGACCAAACTGGCCCTTCTTGGGCCAAACTGGCCCTTCTTGGCCAAACTGACTCCACTGGGC